TTGCAGGATCGTAGCAAAGAGTTGTCTAATTCATTGTTTTGTCTCAAATAATGGTTTTATTTCACTCTATTACTTAGTATTTTGAAATTCTTAACAATTAATACTAACTAATAATTGCTCTCAATTAAGCTTTTTCTCAGCCCTTTAATTCGTGTTTCTGAAGATTTACGTCAACTAGAAATAAACTCCTTATTACTATTGATGCCTTTAAGTAGAGTTTCGAGACTACCAGTAGATCAGTAATATGAGATGTATTCACCCTATCTAGTTTAAGGGAAAGCAAAGCAATTTAAAATTAAATCGAAACGTCAGATCTACTCATATCATTGTGGAAATATTCTACTACCAGTCCTTCATCACCTTAGATGAAATAGGGTGAATACATCTCATATTACTGATTTACTGGTAGTCTCGAAACTCCACTCAAATACAAAAAATAATAAACGTAGTCGATTATAATAGCAAATATACGTTTTCTTCATCGACAATCCCACCAAAGAATATGATATGACAAAAGGCCTGGCTTCCTTGAAATTCACATCTGCCTTGTGACCCAAAGGCGCTCGTGGCAATGTGGTCGAGTGGTTAACATGTCAAGCTCTCATTAAGCACTGTCACAGTTCGACTCCCGCTGAAGGTGTTGATAATACCGATGCGAGGTCGAAACTGCAGTCCACCCTGGATAAGAACAACTTTTGGCAAAGCAAGGCAATGTGAAATTCAATGGAAACGTCAGCTCTACTCGTGTTACTGTGGAAATATTCTACTACAAGTCCTTCATCAACATAAACGAGATAGGGTGAATACATCTCATACTATTGATATCATTACTCCTAATTTAACAGCATAAGTATGATTTGAGAAAAAATTAAGAAGGAATCCCGAATTTATGAATTTCTTATAAACATCTCTACCCAGCTTGTTGCCTAATTTAATAACTAGGGCATCTAAAAACGGTAGCTTACTGTCCTTTCTAACTCCATAGTGAATTTGATCGCCTTATCTACTCTATCCATTAGCCCAAGGAAGTCATCCAAATACTATTTGCCATGCTGCCAGATAGCAAAGTAATCATCCATATATCTGACCCGTAATTTCGGAACTAAGAGCGACTTTAAAAAATGGGACATCCAATTGAGCCATATAGTTATTAGCTAAAACTGGCGACAAACACGGTTCCTTAGCTAAACATCCGGTTTTCTCGTACAATTTACCATTAAAGATACAATATGTACTATTGATAATCAGGTTGATCAATCTGATGATTGACTTCTTGCATATTTTAGTACCTGATATAATCTCTGGGTGCAGATCTATGGTTAATCCTAATGCCTGTATGGCCCCACTTACCGATATATTCGTGAACATCGATACTACATAAAAACTTAATATCAAAGCTTCTTGTTCTATTATTTGCTCATCTATTAACATTATAAAGTCTTAATAATTTTTTAAAAATATTTTCAAAAACCAAAGATTTTATTCAATTGAATACAAAGTTACCATGATGTTTTATGGATCACATTATTTTTTTATTTACAATGATTATAAATGACACTTCTTTGTGAATTTTGGGCAGACCATAGGCATTAGGACGTCTAGCGTCACGTTGGAGAAGTTAAGTCACTTTCCATTTCTATAATTATCCAATATTAACGCAGGCAACTCTTAAGACTCGACTTTAACGTTTTGTAAGAGGTCTAACTTCTTGCTGTATTTTTATTTTCCCCGAATTTCCTCGAGCACTAGGCAAAGTTATCGCTAAATCTACCTTCTTCCACACTCCAGTCCATCAAATTTTTCCCCCAAGTACGTCAATGGCCTCCCTAATCTTCCACTTCCTTGTGTTTTCACCATATGAGGTCCTTCTTTATATTGCCTTCCACTTGATCTCGCGTCCAGTCTGTACATGTTCCGCTAAT